GCAGGTGGTCAATCACTATAGCCACACTTCCAGTCCATTTTACTCTGGTTATTTAGGAGATGGGATCTCCACAACCATTTGCCTGGGCTGGTCTTGAACCCTGAACCTCAATCCTCCTATATCGCAGCCTCCCAAGTAGCTAGGAACCAGGCATAAGCCACTGGCACTGACCAATGACCATATTCTTAAACAATGAAGGACAGGAATGTAAAACAGGTCCTATTAGGGGGAAGGTACTAGTGGGAGGAGGAGGGTGAATGAAGACAATGGATATGGTTGATGTATTTTATATACATGTATAAAGACATAACATTGAAATCTGCTGAAATTACTTTACGTAGGGAGGAAAGGGACGTGGGACAATGATGGTGGAGATGAACCTAACCAAGACACACTGTAAGGATTTATGGTATTGACACAATGAAACCCCCTGCACAGCTACTATATGTTAATAAAAAGGAATCTCTCTGTATAGCTGTCCTTATCTCAACTAGCAAAAATGCTATGTCTTTCTTATTATTGCTTTATTTCTACTCTTCAATGGAACTGGAGAAAAGCGCAGAACAGGTTCTGCCTGAAAGGGAGCAGAGAAGGGGGAAGAGGGTGGGGGCGGGGGCAGGAGAGAGAAATAACCCAAACAATGTATGCACATGTGAATAAACGAATAATAATAAAAAAAAAATACAAGCACAGGGGCCTGAGTTCAAACCAGGAATGACAATAATAATAATAACAATATAAAACAGAATGGATAAAGGCAAAAAAGGCTCACAGAGAAAAAGATATAATATAATGAAGGGTGATGACGCAAGAAAAGCTATATATGTATTTAACATAACCTCCAAAGTACAGAGGGATGGTGGGAAGGATGACGGAATTCTAATAAATGGTGAAGCCACCACCAGAAAATTTTTCAGACCCAAGGCCCAAACTCCAGGGATTCTACATACTAGGTCAGATCTTCCTGTATGCCAAACAAAGAGGCATGATGAAGGTAGAGAAAGGAGAAGTATTACATGGCTCAGGACATGCCGTGGAAAGAGGCAGAGTAAATACTCAGCTCACATTCAGGATACAGACATGAGCTTTAAATATAAGTAGACAAAAGAACTGGGAGCAGGGGACAAGTTAAGCATAAAAAGTCCCAGACACATATGTTTTCTGGTTGATCCTTATCTCAGTTCGAGGGTGCCTGGAGAAGGTATCACTGTAATCACTTGCAACCTCATCACTATAGGTAACTGTCCTCATTGTAGGGTAGTCTGTCATGCAAGGCTGTGCCGTTCCTTAAGGACAGTTTTAGTCCCTTGTCATAAAGACATTACCAATCATTCCTCTTCTACCTTCATTCCAATGCGGCTGCAGGAGAGAATGGATCAGAGCAAAGGACAGTAGGTACAAAATGGAAACAGAGATCCCAAGCTTTTCTCCTGTGTTTACCTAAACAAGGGCCCAAATAAGAAGTCAGTGCTTTTTAGTAAAAACAGCTTAAGCGTCTCTTACAAGAGCTCTCACTAATCCAGTTCAAGCAGTCAATTAAGCAACTATATGCAGATGGGACAAGATGAAAATACTATTTTCTAACTATAAAATCCAACCACACCATGATATGTGTCTCAGAAAACAACATCAATCTCCTGAGGACAGTGCAATGAAGTTAGCAAACAAAACAACCAGAAGGACTGAATGTTTATAGAGACCACACAAGGCTCAAGGTTCTACTCCCAGCACTGCAAGACTGAGGCAGGATATATAAGGAGACAGAGAAATTATATTATTGTAATAAATATTAAAAGGGAAAGACTCAGACATTGGGACAAGGAAGTAAAAACTGAAAAGTCAGAGCAGCTAGGTCCCTCTCCTCTCTTTAGATATTAAAGTAACAAGAACAGGAAGACATAAAGAGGCTCTATCCATCTGCCTTTTGCTTTGAGATGCTTTTCACATTTTGTGTATCTCAAGGACCTTTGATTTTGCATGGATACTGGGAAGCTGTGGGAATCCCCTCATCCCTGCTCTAATAACAAAACAAAAGAATATCCAGAAAAAATACCACAGAAAAACAATTCAAAGAAAAAAACTTACATGTCAAAGGAGCCCTGATGTGTTATAATATTTAGAACCTAAATAAAAAAAAAAAAAACTACACTACAATTCTTTGGTATGTGACAGACATCCAATCTAGTTAAGTGGAAAAGAAACATGTCACAAAAGTTAAATGAAGAAAATTAAAAAACAGAATGTTATAAAATAGAAAACATATCATAAAGTAGATCAATCAAGCCAACCAAAATTCTGACTAATTTTCTTAAAAAAAAAAACAGTACCTAAGTATTGGAAGTGTAGCTCCAGTAATAATAAGCTTGCCTAGCAAACACAAGGCTGAGTTCAAACCCCACATAAAAAACAAAAACATTATCTAAGCCACTCATGGTGGCTTGTGCCTATAATCCTAACACTAGAAGGCTGAAGCAGGATTCCAAGTACAAGTCCACCCATGGCAGCGGGGAAAGGAATCATCCAAATATTAGGAATGGAAATGTTAGCGCTGGAACACATTAAAAATATGGGTAGATTATGAACAACTTTGATTATATAATTTAAACCTTGGATGGAATGGATAAATTCCTAAAGAACTTGTTTTCTTCTTGGTGGTACTGGGGTTCAAAGTCAGGGCCTAATGGTTGCTAGGCAGGGTCTCTTGAGCCACACCTATAGCCCACTAAAGAAATTTTACCTTAATAAAATACGTAAATGCCCTGGGGTCCTTATGGGAACACAAAAACTTTAAACTTTTCACAAAGAAAACTCCAAATTGGGCCAGTGGCTCACACCTGTAATCCTTGCTACTTGGGAGGCTAAGAATGAGAAGATCTGGTTCAAGCTCAGTCAGGGCAGAGTTCTGGAAACTCCATCTCCCAAATAATCAAAGAAAAGTGGACTGGAAGTGTGGCTCATGCAGTAGAGCAAAGCCCTGAGTTCAAAGCCCAGGCCCACGAAAAAAAAACAAAAGAAAACTCCAGATTCAAATGGATTTTTTTAGATATTGCTCCCTATTTTGGAATTTAGAAAAAAAGAGTAAACATTCCCTAGCCTATTTTAGGAAACCGGCATAAACCTGAAATAAAAAAGGAAAACTTCACTGAAATACAGATCCAAAAACACCAAAAAAATATTAGCAAACTGATGGGAAGTATGACAGGAAATATGTCTTTCCAAAAAAGTTGTTTACCAATACAAATTTAATATAACCTTAGAAAATCAGCTCATTTAGTTCTACTATACTTGACTAAAAAGAGAAAATTATATTATTCACTCATTCATTTAATACACAGTAATTGCTCAATGCTTATGACAGGTTAGATTTTAAGGCAGTAAAATATATTAATTAAACATGAGAGTAGAATGAAAAAAAAAATCACTTGATGAACTCCTACAGAAATTTACTAGACAATCTCTTAAACCCCGAAAAAGAGGGGACTTTCCTTGAACTAATAAACTACCTCAGGGCCTGGAGATGTGGCTCAAGTGGTACAGCACCTGCCCAGCAAGTGTGAAACTGTGAGTTCAAACCCAGTAATCACCCCCCCGCCCAAAAAAGAAAAGTAACTACTTTAGGAAGAAAAATCTCCAGCAAACAAAAAGATAATTAAGTTTAAAATCAGAAAGTAAACAGGACAGCCTAAGGTTTGCTAACCAAACTCCAGTCAATGATACTGTAAATCTCCAGCCAGTCCAGCAAAGGAAGAAAATAGAAAATGTGTATGAGTCAAAGGAAAATATACTTATTTTATAAAGATGATAAAACTGTATATGAAGAACATCCAAAAACTACATAAAACTTAGGACAATTATGCAATATTATCCAGATGTGATGGCATACGTTTGTTATCCCAGCACTAAGGAGGCTGAAGCAGGAAAACAGCAATTTCGAGGCCAGCCTGAGCTACAGAGCAAGACCCCGTCAAAACACAATAAATAAATAAAAAAAAAAAAAGCAAAAGCTAATATTCTGAAAATTCATAAACAGATTCAACACAATTTAAAAACAAAAGCCCACTAACTTGGTAAACTGATTTTCTCATGACATTCCTGAGAAAGGCAAGGTGTTAAAACACTTTTTCATCGACATGATATTCAGAAATCTCTAAGTGATACACGTAATTTGCAATTCTTTTCCATCACTTTGGGAAAAAAGGATGTCTGTGAAATACTTAAGCAAGTGAGTCCATTCACAAATAACTAGCAAAATTTCTAAATGTTTTGGGGAACACACATGTAAACAGCAAAATACATAAAGAAAATCACAGGGGATAGGAGAGGCAGCATACAAAGAGAACACAGTCCTCCCTAGCCAGTCTTCTTGGCCTAGTTTATATATTCGCCTTATTGTTGTCATTTTAAGTGTGAGTTACCACTTTTATTTTGCATACATGTCCTACTTTCCAATTTAAAAATGAGAATAAACAGTACAAAAGATGGCAAAATTCAGTGCAAAATATTAGTGACCAAGGTATTACATAAACTAACTTCCGAGTTCAGTAACAAAATGTTAAACTGCATTATAAACTTTACAGGCTACGTCCACGAGAACGTCAACTAAAATAACTCTACCAAAGATTTAGCTTAAAATATACAGGGCATTCTCCAAGTTAAATGGTAACAGAACGCAAACCAGCATGTCCATGGAATATAAGACAAAACTGACTACAGTGCAGAAGAAAAAGTCCTCTATCTTAGCTACGTCCAATTCCTGCCGTCAGCTCATCCGGCCTCTGTGTATGGCTTCGGCTGGGCTCTTCCGCCTCAAGAAACAAGGAGTTTCTAAAAGCAGGTTAGAGATGCCTCCATCGTCACTAAATGCAGTGGTGGAAATCAGAACCTAAAACACACCCTTCGCCAGCTATCGGGTCCCGTTATTCCTACCCCCAATTGCTCAGGGCCTCTGGTCCTCAGGGACGCCGGGGTGTAAAGGGTTAAGTGATAAAAGCGGAGCTTACATGACTCTGGGTAAAAAACGAGGAAGCGGAAGTCTCGGAAACTGCAGCCGAAGGATGAGAAGTTCACACGAAAGGTCCCATACCCTACAGGGAGGCCTGGGTCCCCAAAAAGGTAGAAGGGAGCAGCTGCGAACCTCTCCTTTGCCCATGTGTCTGAGTGCAATTGCCTCCGGAGAATAATGGCTTCCGTTTCACTTCCGCCTTTAAATCTCGCGGGATCGCATTGGTAGCCTCTAACCCGGAAATTAGGACTACCGGATTCTGGGAAGTGTAGTTCGTAAACTTGACCAGCACAGCGGGGATGTTCTACTGGAATCTGACAACACAGCATGTTTCCCCAGATTCTAATAATCCCAGTGCTATGTAGGTCACTCCTCACTGTCTTCTCGTCCTCAAATCAATCTCTGGTAGCAGTGACTATGACTATTCCTACCTCAAGTACTATTTATAAAATCTAAACTCTCAAATTTGCAGTCATATCCCATGCCTCTACCCTAAATGCCAAACTGCAGCATTCCCCACTTGGAGTTTTAAGGGCACTTGTCCACTTTAAACAACTTCTCTCCGTTTTTTTTTTTTTTGTTGTTTGTTTTGTTTTTGGTGGGACTGGTGTTTGAACTCAGGGCTTCACATTTACAAAACAGGTCCCCCAGCATTTAAGCCACACCTCCAGTCCATTTTGGTCTGGTTGTTTTGGAGATGGGCGGGGGGGTCTCCAGAACTATTTGCTTGGGTTGGCCTTGAACCATGATCCTCCAGATCTCAACCTCCCAAGTAGCTAGGATTACAGGCATGAGCCATCGGTGCCCTGCCTTGGATCCTTTATATGTTGCACATATGTGTGGAATTCATCACAGAACATTGTCAATTCTACCTTGGAATGCCAACCCAGAACCTGACTATTTTGCCAGGAAGATTTTTCTTGGTTCTGAGTAAAAAGTTTTCTGGCAAGACCCAGAAAAAACGAAACAAAAATAGAATGTTGGGTTCCTCCTGTAGAATTTCTCAGTCATAAAGTTAGGAAGACCAGCTTTAAAGTAGTATCTGCACCAGATGAACTTGCAAGAGTGAAAGAGAGGTCCTGCCTTGGTCTTTTCTCTCTTCCTCTTTTAAAAAAATTTTTTTTCCATTACTAGGACTTTTACTCAGGGCCTAAACCTTGAACCATTCCACCAGCCCTTTTTTGTGTGTGATGGTTTTTTTTGAGATAGGGTCTTGCAAACTATTTACTGGGGCTAGCTTCCAACAAAGATTCTCCGAATCTCTGTCTCCTAAGTAGCTAGGATTACAGGCATGAGCCACCAGCACCCAGCTTTTTTTTTTTTAAGTCAGAACCTTGAGCTTGCCAGACAAGCACTCTACCACTTGATCCATTCCCCCAGCTCTTCCTCTTCTTATAAAGTCAATAATCTCATCATGAGGGCCTGACACTATGAGTCCTCTAACCCCAGTTATTTACAGGGTCAAGTCAAGTGCTTACCTAGCATGCATGAGACATGAATTCAATCCTAACAACGCAAAAGGAAGAAAAAAGAAAAAACTACTGCACCTAGAAAGCTCCACCTGTAAATATTGAGGACATGGAAATAGAAGAAGCTATGTTTCCAACACATGAATCTTGGGGACCTCTTCAAGCCATAACGGGCATATCTAAGTATGTGTGGGTAATTAATTAATACTGGGCTTTGTGGGGGTAAAGCAAAGTCCTGATTTGGAACATGTGAGAATTGGTTTCCAATTCTCAATAGGTCTGGGGAGGGGGCTGAGAATCTGCATTTCTATTTATTTATTTGTTTTTATTCATTTATTTGTTTTTACAGTACTAGGATTTGAACTCAGGGCCTCCAACTTGTTAGGTAGGCTCTCTACCACTTGAGCCACACCTCCAGCCCTTTTCTTTTTCTTGAGTATTTTGGAGATAGAAGCTCATGAACTATTTCTCTGGGCTGGCCTTGAACTCTGATCCTCCTGATCTCTTCCTCAGGAATGATGGGATTATAGACATGAGACCCTTTATCCCTAATGGAGATTGAGCAAAGGATGTCAGGCATGCTAAGCAAGCTCTCTATCTCTTGAGTTATGCCCCCAGCCCCTGATTCTGCATTTCTATCAACCTTCCAGGTACTGCTGCTACTGGTCCAGTAACTATATTTTGAGAATCACTAGTGGAGTATATGTAAGTACTTAGCATCTGGCAATTATATATAAGAATCACTGCCCAAAGTTCATGGTGTCAATAAACCTGAAGCAAAACCAGCTATGAGACTTGAATAAAAAATACTGATTCTGGATCTTTTAAGGAATTGCAATACTGCAGACCCAGGGACCAGTAGCAACTAAACTATGCTGTAAAGGGAAGCAAAAAGGTCAGTAATAAAAATAATAAACTGTTTTACAAAATTATGATTGGTGAAGAAAACAGCCAGTTTATAGATTCAACAGTCTATTGGTTATTGTTCAGCATTTGTGGACATAACAACAGTGAGGGTCCAGATAAAAAAATATTCAGTTGAAAATATCGATGGGCCCTATCCTCTCATGTCTCCACAGCTCTACTTTGAGGATTCTGAATCAAAGAGTAGCCCCTTTGTGGTCTCAGTTCACAGTAATTTAATTTCAAAAATAATTCCATGCTGTGTGACTAAGAAGACATTTAGATATTATGCTTATTCAGGCCACATGGAATGGAGGGTATGGTGTGGAATTTCAGTGGGCTGTTGGATCCAGATCTTCACTAACCCAGGCCAGCTGTGCAGCCTTGGGGACATTGCTTAACCTCTCTATGCCTCTGTTTCCCCATCTGCAATGGGAAAACTAAAAAAGTTTTTATTAAAAATTAAAAAAGGGGTTGGGGATGTGGCTCAAATATAGAGTGCCTGCTAACAAGCACAAGGCCCTGAGTTCAAACCCCAGTACTGCCATGAAAAAGAAAGACAGAAAAAAGAAAGAGACAGAGAAATTGGGACTAGAGTTGTTGCTCAAGTGATAGAGCACCTGCTTTGCAAGTGTAAAGCCCTGAGTTCAAACTCCAGTCCCACCAAAAAAATAAATAAATAAAAATAAAAATAGCCAGGCAACAGTGTCTCATGCCTGTAATCCTGGCTACCTGGGAGGCTGAGATCTGGAGTACTGCAGTTCAAAGCCAGTCTGGGTAAATAGCTCATGAGATCCCATTTCCAAATAACTATAGCAAAATGAACTGCAGGGTGACCCAAGTGGTATAGTACCTGCTTTGCAAGGGCAAAGTCCTGAGTTAAAACTTCAGTCCTACCAAAAATAAAATAAGAAACACATATTTTTTAAAGAATATAGAACAAATCACTATGTACATACCAGGAGAAGATATGGCTCCAAAGAGGTGAAATGGGCACCAGGACTAAATTTAGAGAACAGCCAGTTGAGGAGCAATGTGAATCTAAAGTGGCTCAGGAGTGAAGAGTGAGAGTCAAGGTCTTCTCTCTTTGGCCTGGGACCATAACAAGATATGTCTTAGAAATAAAGGAGTTTTGGAAGTAAATCAATTGGAAGTGTGGACTGAATCCAGGTTTCCCATCATCTGGAGGACCCAGAAAAGGCTCGTGTAACTACAATTTGTTACTATCAGACAAAGTAGACATTAATGTTAAAACTTGTCCAATTATAGCAAAGGTGATTTCATAAATATAAAAGATCTGATACTTTGGAGGCTGACACACGAGAATAATGACATCAAGGCCAGCCTGAACTACACAGTGATTTCCAGGTCAGAGGCACCAGAAAGCTATGACAATGATAATTCTGAATGTATACTTATTTAATAGTCATTTGACTTAATTACAACAGAAATAGACAAATTCAAAATCAAAGTAGGTGATTTTAACATATGTCATTCCGTGATTAACAATACAATGAGATCAACAAAATCAGAATCTGAACATGATTAAGAAATTTAACTTTTTTTGGAGGGAGGCTGTTACTGGTGGTTGAACTCAGGACCTCATGCTTTCTAGGCAGGCGCTCTACCCCTTGAGCCATACCATAGGCCCTTTTTGCTTTGGTTATTTTTGAGACAGCATTTCACTTTATACCTGGTCCATCCTGAACAACAGTCCTCCTATTAGTGCATCCCTGAGTAGCTGGGAAGACAGGCAAAAGCCACCGTGCCCATCCAATGAATGAGATGGGGTCTTCCAAACATTTTTTGCAAACTTTTTTTAACCACCTGGGGCTCACCACAATCCTCCAATCTCTGCCTCCTGAGTAGCTAAGATTACTGGCGGGGTCACCTTGCCTGGCCCAAACTTAACTTTTTGATATATAAAGAACAATGCATTCAACAATTGTATAGCACACATATAATTTTTTGGAACAAATGGAATATTTACTAAGTTTGAGCACAAACTTGGTTATAAAAGATGAATTTTTAATTTCAAGGAAATAAAATTATAGAGTATATTCTCTGACCACAGTGCGACTAGACTAGAAATAAATCACAAGAACATGAAAAGATATCCTCTTATATTTGGATGTGAATAAATGCATTTCTAGTTAGGTGACAGAGGCTCATGCCTGTAATCCTAGCTATTCAGGAGGCAGAGATAAGGAACACTGCATTTGGAAGCCATTCTAGGGCAAATAGTTCATGAGACCTTAGCTGAAAAATACCCAATTCAACAAAGCACTGGTGGAGATATCAAGCATGAGGCCCTGAGTTCAAGCTCCAGTCAGTACTGTACCAAAAAAAAGAAAGAAAGAAAGAAATACATTTCTAGGGGAATGGAGGATGAAGAAGAATGATGGAGGGGGTGAATCTAATTAAGATACATTGTAAGCACATATGTAAATGTCACAATTAAATTCTCCTGTACAATTAATACCTGCTAATCAAAAAGAAATGCATTTTTATATAATGTAGAAATTACATGAGAAATCACAAAGTACTTTATTCAAAATCATTTATCTGTATAGAGTCCAGCAGAAATGAGCACAAAGTAAAAAGAAAAATGAGGATGACTCAAAGTGAGATTTGAGCTAATCATTAACATGGAAGCAAAATAGCATCCATTACAGGCTTCCTAACATAAAGTTATACACTCAGTGATTATTTCTTTAATTTTAGTAGTGCTCAATAAAGACAAATTTCTATTCACTTACAATTTATTGAATTTTCTCAGATATT